TTCGGATCAGCGCGAGGTCTCCTGTGCCGCCGGCTCCAGCGGCGACAGCGCTCTGGGCTCACGCCGGTGCCCTCCCCAAATTCTCCTGCCAAGTCCACCCGCGAGCGAGCCTGCTCGGTCCGACACGCAAGAGACTGTCACCCGAACGGGCGAGAGGCAGGGGCTCATTCGCTGCCATCTCGCCATCAAGCTAGAAGAAGCTGCGAGCCTTTATCGGCAATTACAAGAACATCCTGCTTATTTTTACTGTGCCCCCACTACAAGCAGCAGGATTTCGGCTGCCCAATTAGTAGCTCAAGTTACTATTTAAGAATGACAAAGCTTAGGTGAGAGGCAGGCTGCCTCACTAATCATTTATGTCACACTCATCACTGGGATTTGTTCCGGCTGTTACTGGAGCATTTAAAGCCATCCTTTCTCCCAAATTAAGCGCTGCAGGTTTCGTAAGAGGGTCAATCATTAACTACTCTTTGCTGACCTCCTTCAGTCCCAGGTACAGCCCATGGTACTACAGGAATGAGTTTGGCTTTTTACAACAGCAACTGCCATCTCAGACAGCAGATCTTTCATCTTGTTTCTTAGATAAAACTAAGCCAGGCAGGCAAGACATCGCCAGCTGCCCTGGCAATAGCTCTCTGGGGGAAAACACAGCCTGCGTAGCCTCACCTTCTCCGAAAAAAGCCTGAAAGTCTTGGTGAAAAATTGAAGTGAAGAGCATGTCGAAATAACTGGCCATGTAAGAATGATTCCTCTTTTCCAGATGGCGTCATACTTTTGGGAACCAGGAGATGTGTAGGCCTTCTTGCTTTACATCATTGCAAGCGCAATTAATTCAGGTTTCTCTCTCTGCCTGTCCCTCCACTTGCACCTCTAGGATAACATCTCTGAATGCCCCCCAAGAAAGGCAGTCCCAGCTGTAAGTGAGGTGCAATCTCATGTTAGGTTAAATTCCCCTTCACCCCCCAGCTGCAGGTTCATTTTGCAGCAATTTTCATGCCACACAACACTCTGACACCAGGGACAGCTGCAAACCAACACAGTGTATTTCCTGTAGACATTGAACATTTACTAGGTTCATACTTTTCCTGTTTACAAGGTCACACGTGCAGCCTTCCCACAAGCTGTCATCACATCTCAACAGCTTGTAAGGGACCTTCAGGCTGCAAGTTCCCCACTGCAGACCCCATGGCTTTATCCCAAGTTTAACACACACAGATCTGCAGTGAGGCAGCACCTTCATCCTGTGCCTGTCACTAAGGCACATTAGCCCATGGCAACTGAGTTAGCTTATCTTTTGGGTTTTTTGCAGCCCAGTCTTAGAGGAAAGCCCTCTCACTGGGTCCTTATCTCTGCTCTTTGTGAACGTATTATCAAGTCTGAGAACTTTTTAAACATATCTCTGAAAGGCCTAAGCCCTGAGCTTCCCAATGCATGCAACACTGCAGCAGCCTGAGGCCCTGAGCAGATCAAGCTCCCCAGGAGCTGATAAGGCCACAATCCTGATAAAGACTGCAGAATCAGCAGCTGCACCAAGCAGAAGATGCTGCTTCAAATTGGTTAAAGGGCAACATGCAGTAAAATTAAAATGGGAACAAAGTGCCACCACTAGACTCCTTGTCAGCAAATTGACAACGAACCTCCCGTAACACAGCCAAAGGCACATCCAGCCTGGGACAAGCTTAAAACAAAATTGTAACCTTAATATGGATTTATCTCTGCTTTTACATAACTGAGTTAGAGTTGAGTGAATCCCATATTTGCAGGGTGGCCGAGTAAAACCTAACACCACAGCCAACGACTGGCAGGGGAGGGGGGGGGGGGGTTCAATAGGAAGACAAGCCCTCCATGAATCGCAGCTGCTTTCAGGACAGCTACTGATGTCTTCAGAGAAGAGCCACAGAAGGGACAAGGTCTAGTTCTTCCTTTTGTCAGAAGGCATCACAAAGTGCAGAGCTTTTGCTGACAAAGGGAAAAGCCCTGCCAAGAGCCTCTAGCTCATTAGGAAAAAGTCTTTTTTGCAATACTTACATGCAAACAGCAGCATCAGGAACAACAAGTGCCCAAAGGCAACTGGTTACAATTTCTTTGTTTCTACCAACCTTCACCTCAGCCAAGTACCCACTCAC